CAAGGTCACTCCTGCCTCATTGCCAAGGGAACAGTTTGCCGTTCTTCAAGGCTTGTGATTAGGGAGCAACACATTCCTACAGAAACTATTATTTTTTGTTTATCATTTTTACAGTGCAAATATTGGCAATCGCAAATAATACACACTTTGATTTCAATTACAACACAGAATACAATATATGTGAAAAAGTAGAAAAACATCCAAAATATTTACTAAATTTCATTTGCTGTTCTATTGTTTAACAGTACAATTAAAACTGCAATTAATCATGATTATTTGTTTATACCCAATTATTTTTTGAGTTAATCGCGTGTGTTGACTGTGATTAATCAACAGCCCTAGTTTTCTAGCTTTTCTGCAATTCACTTAAAAAAAAAACTTTTTAAAGAAAACTGAAAGCTGAGATTCTCCACGCAGTCTCTTGGTTCCAGATCTTGGGGCGTTAAGAGAGACAGGAAACACTGTGAGTCTCCCAATAAAATCGCAGGAGCTGGCGCTGCTGGCCATTTCTCAAGCGGTGCACCCACAAACAAAGGTACTGAGGGTTGGTTAGTGGACATTTCTGGTCACACAGTCCATCAGTGGCAGAGAAGCTGTGCCCCTCTGCAGTGGGCTACAGAGCCTCCTGTTGTAAGAAAAGGGGTTATACCACAGACAGCTGGATATAGCAGTGACTATCTTGGAGAATCGCTGGTTCAAGGCACAGCTCAGAGGGTCTCTTCCTCTCGTTCAGACATGAGACATGCACGTGCTGGATAAGCAAGGCCAAGCACATTCTTAATAGAAAGGGGTGTGACCCAAGCCCAGCTCCAATTGCCTGCTCTTAGCTCTCTATTGGGCTCAAACAACCCCCCTGCCTGCCCACAGATCTGGAAGGGACCTCCTGGTTTCCAGAGCCCAGGGCTCTGCTATCAAAAGTGACCCTGGCATATCACCCACTGCATAAATCTTTCTATCTCCATGTTCAAATGAGCTGGGTTGTTTGCCCCCCACTGCTGCTGTTGGGAGGCTGTTCCAGAACCTCCCTCCTCTAATGGTCAGAAACCTCCTTCTCCTTCCCAGACTCACTTTGCTCCAGGCCAGTTTGTTCTTGTGCCAACATTGTCCTTTACTTCTTCTCCCTCCTTGGTGTTCCCACCCCTACGATGTCTTTATAGTGCAATCTGATCCCTGCTCAGCCTGGATTTTGTTAGACTAAACCAGCCAAGCTCTTTCAGTCTCCATATAAGACAGCCTCTCCATTTCCCTCACCATCCTAGGAGCCATTCTCCACACTGTTCCAGTCTGAATTCATCTTTCTGGAATAGGAGTGACCAGAATTTTACATACTTTGCCACAGGAGGTCTCAACAGTGCCTTGTATAAGGATATTAATACCTTCCAGTCTCACCTGACACATTCTAGGATCTCATTTGCCTTGTTCACAGCCACATCACATCGGTGGCTCACAGTCATCCTGGGAATGACCAATAGATCCAGGTCTTTCTCCTCCTCTGTTATTTCCAACTTACCCTTGGCATTATAAACAGAGGCCTAGTGAGTAGATGCAGGGAAGATTGAGAGCTGACTTGATGACAGTGTACAAGCACTTTCACAGGGACAAAATACCAGCTACTAACGGGCTCTTTAATCTTGCAGGCAGATGTATAACTTGAATGAATGGCAGGAAACTGAAGCAAGACAAAAAAATTTGGAAATGAGGCACACATTTTTAACAGCAAGGGTGCTTAATCAGTGGAACAAACTCCCAAGGGAGGTGACGGATTCTCCTAATACCTCCAAACCAAGACTGGATGCCTTCCTGAAAGATACCCTTTAGATGAACAAAAGTTATGTGTTAGTCAAACTCAAGTCATTGGGCTCAATACGGGGGTAACTGGGTGCTATACAGGAGGTCCAACTAGATCAATGGTTCTCAAACATATTTGATTATGCACCCCGCCCCTTTGAGTCAGTAAGAGTTTACGCCCCTGCCACACAAATACATATACCGATATATGTGGGGCAGGGCTTCAAAAAAATCACTTTGGCTTTTTTGTTTTTCGCTTGATTTTTCTTGTTGTTGCATGAATGAGCCAACGGTCCATTGGAATCAGAGCAAAAGCAAAACTGTGGTCCCAGCTTACAATAAAATGTCTTTGCACAGGACCGGCTCCAGGCACCTGCCGACCAAGCAGGTGCTTGGGGCGGCACCTGGAGGGGGGCGGCAGTCCGGCCGCCCGGGGAGAGCGGGGCTGCAGCCGGGCTCGCCACCCTCCCCCCGGTGCTCCAGCGGGTCGGGCAGAGTGGGACCCCGGCCGGGCTCACCGTCCTCTCCCCGGCACTCCAGTCAGTCAGGGAGAGCTGGGCCCCAGCCGGGCTCGCCACCCTCCCCTGCCGCGCTCCCCGCCGGGGGGACCGGGGGGCAGCGGGAGGCTTTTTTGCCTTGGGCGGCAAAAAAGCCAGGGCCGGCCCTGCTTTGCAAATGGATTCTTGTGCAGATGTCAATGACTTTGTATAATTCTATTCAAGCTTAACAGAAATCCATCAAAGTGCATAGTGCTACCTAGAGTGAAATGAACAGCGCTGTCTTAGGACCGGATCAGTCTGGAGGGATCAGCTTTGCTAGTTATTCATAGCTGTGGGTAAAATTTGTACTGAAAGGTTTTTTTCCTAACGTTTCTCTCACAAACACACACCCAAATACAATCTGCACCACCAGGGTGGCCCGCCTCCCAGTTTGGACCTCTGGACTACATGATCTAATGGCTCCTCCGGGCCTTAAATTCTGTGACTCTATGAGTCATTGTCTTTAATGGATCATCATCTTGGATGCAACTTGAACAATTGCTACTCTGAATGCTCATATGCGCTCAATGAGGATATATAGCTCTTGCAAATGAAATGTAAAAAAATAATTAGGAAGGCCAAAAAAGAATGTGAAGAACAGCTAGCCAAAGACTCAAAAAGTAATAGCAAATATTTTAAGTACATCAGAAGCAGGAAGCCTGCATTGGTGCAGTCTTGCCACAATCCCTGCTCATTTTCCCCAGAGGCCCCACCCTCTGTCCCAACTCTTGCCACTAGGCTCTTTCCCCCTACTCCTCCACTTCCCCTGAGCCTCTGCCCCCCTGCCAGGCCACCAGCCGGGCCATGGTAAGAGGTACCACAAGAATCCAGGCTGCTGTGGGGAGCCCCAGACTCTCCACCATCCCTGGTATGCCCAGACTAGGAAGGCATCCAGTCTGTGAAAGAAACTTATTGAAACATCTCTGAGGGTGAGATTGTATCTGTACTATATTAGGCATAGGCTTGAGGGGTTTATTTTATTTTACTTGGTAATTCACTTTGTTCTGTCTGCTACTACGTGGAACCACTTAAATCCTACTTTCTGTATTTAATAAAATCACTTTTTACTTATTAATTTACCCAGAGTATGTATTAATGCTTTGGGGGTGGGGATAGCTGTGCATATCTCTCTATCAGTGTTATAAAGGGTGAACAATTTATGAGTTTACCCTGTATACATTTTATACAAGGTAAAACGGATTTATTTGGGGTTTGGACCCCATTGGGAGTTGGGCATCTGAGTGTTAAAGACAGGAACACCTCTTAAGCTGCTTTAAGTTAAGTCTGCAGCTTTGGGGCACGTGGTCCAGACCCTGGGTCTGTGTTGGAGCAGACTGGCGTGTCTGGCTCAACAAGACAGGGTGCTGGAGTCCCAAGCCGGCAGGGAAAGCAAGGGCAGAAGTAGTCTTGGCACATCAATTCCCAGCCCCAAGGGGGTTTCTGTGATCCAACCCATCACAGAACACCCTGATTATCCTCGCACGAAGGTGTTTGCTTTTCACGCTGTACACAATTGGGTTCATCAGGGGTGGGACGAGCATGTAGATATAGCCCAGGAGAATCTTAAGCAAGGGAGAAGAGTCCTCCCCCAATCTGTGTATCACAGACAGGCCGGTCATTGGCGTGTAGAAGAGCAGGACGGCGCAGAGGTGGGAGACGCAGGTGTTCAGGGCCCTGAGGCACTCCGCGTGGGATGTGATGCTCAGCACTGTTTTGAGGATCATCACATAAGAGAGGAAGATGAGCAGCGAGTCCAGTCCCACCGTCAAGAGTGAAAGAGACAAGCCATAGATGCTGTTTACTTTGATATCCGAACAAGCCAGCTTCATGACGTCCTGGTTTATGCAGTAGCAATGGGAGAGGACATTGGATCGACAGAATCGGAAACGTTGAAGGAGAAAAGGGAGTGGGAGTATCGCAGCCACTCCTCTTAGCGCAAATATCAGTCCCATTTTGCTTATTCTTGGCAGGGTTAAGATGGAGGCATATCTCAGCGGGTCATAGATCGCGATGAAGCGGTCAAAGGCCATCAACAAGAGCACAGAGGATTCAATGCATTTAAGCAAGTGGATGAAGAAGAGCTGGGCAAGACAGGCATCAAGGCTGATCTCTCTAGAGTTAAGCAAGAATATACCCAGGGTCGTCGGCATGGTGGATATCGATAAGGCAAGATCTGTGATGGCCAACATGGAAAGGAAAATGTACATGGGTTCATGGAGGCTTGGATTTGTTTTTATAATGAACAGAATGACTGAATTTCCTACTATGGATATAACATATATGAAGCAGAAGGGGATAGAGATCCAGAGATGGATGTCTTCTAGCCCAGGTATCCCACTGAGAAGGAACACTGCAGAGTTGAAGTTGGTGTCATTGACAGCTGACATAATGTACTGGGCAGGTCCGAGGAATTCTGAACTTTCCTTCCTAAAAGGAAAAAGGACAGGAGACTAGATGATAATTAATGACACTTCTTTCTGCTCTGAGTGCAAGTCTAGAGACTCCCAGGAGCTCAAGGAATATCAGCAAAAACATAGTCTTGGATTTACACAACAAATAGGAAAATAGGTATTGCCAGAGTGGCTCAGACCCATAGTCTATCTAGCCTAGTATTCAGTGGCCAGTTCCAGATGCTTCAGAGGAAGTGGAAGATGCCCTGCAATAGGGAGCTTTGAAATAACCTGCACCACTAATTAGACAAATGTTGTGGTGCAAAACAGGAAGATGTAGAATTCATGAAAGAGTTTTTGTAACAATCCTCACCATTCTCATTGGATTTTCTGGCTATCTATATAAACATCCAGTCCCAATTTGAATGCTGCTAAACTCTTGGCCCCATTGATATCTTGTGGCTGGGAGTTCCGCAGTCTGCTTGAGCACTGTGTGATTTTACAATTGTGACTTTCCCACAGATGCTGTTTCTGCCCCTCCACTTCTGAGTGTGGCCCATTGTGTCATGAGATGTGTGTAAACACATGGCAAGTGTATGGGGAAAATTGTAATTGTATTTATCTGTCCTGCACTGAAACTATTTATAAACATGTTTCATTGCCTCATTGTATATCTTTTTTTATTTTCTCCACTCCTGAGAGTCCAAATTAAGTCACTGCCTCTTTGCAGTACATGAGATACATTCTTAGGCACAAGTTCTGAATTCAATAACATTGACTTGAACGGCATCACTCCAGATTTACATGTATAAATTCAATCAGAACAGGGCTTTGTTAACTGTCCCTTACCAAATGCTCCCGGTGATACGCTCTGACTCCGAAAAATCCATCCAAGGGGAGCTTAAGTGCTTTGCCTGGCCTATGTAGACTGAATCCAGAGAATCCATCCTCACAGGACCTGTATCCTCTCCCCATGCAATGGTCTGTAGATATTTGGCAAGTTACAAGCTAACACAGATAGTTACTTCAGTTGCGAGGATGTGGGGTTAGCATCACATATGGGTGAATAGTGAAAACACTAATATCCAGTTGAGTGTGCAAGTTACTTCAGCCATGCTCGTGTAAGCGGTGATGAGCGTAAATTACATGCAACTACTATTTCACTCCCCTTTCCTGCACCTTAGCTCCACTCTTCTGAAACACAGACCAGCGGTTCTGTTCTCTCATGACTTTTTGGAAAGTCTTGCACAGGTATTGCAGAGGGATTGTGTTCTTGACCCTGAATGTAAGTATTAGAAACAGCTACTGGTCAGTTACCACATGATGAAATCATACAACTGTTCACTGAACAAATGGTTTATAGCACAAACCCATTGCAAACAGTATGTGGAGCACTTCTGAAATACTTTCTAAAGCAAAAGCCATTAAGCAATAATGTTACCACTGCTCCTTCCTGTAGACATTCCAACAACTCTGCTGCTGGCTTTCGATATACATGCATGTCACGAACGTTTGGTTTCTAATATTTGTATTACAATGAAAAGTTTTGGCATAACATCTACACATCTGTACTTTCATACACATATGTCAACCCATTCTTTGCCCTCTGATCTTCTCTCAGAGTTGATTTCTCAGGTTACAGTGGGACGTAAAATGTAATGTCTCTCTTCTGGATTTCTTCACAACCTGAAAAGTTTGCAGCATCTCAGCCCCCATTCAGTCGCTTGTCAGTAAACAAAAGCCTAGAAGCTGCTCTGACCCTGACTTAATAGCTGACTGGTTCTCCGCAGGTTATTTTCTTTCAGTCTGTAGGCTGTATCAGGAGTAGTAACAGGCATTGGGATCAGTATATATATATCTCACTCTTTAGTACATAGTAACTCCAGCACCTGTTATTCAGGCATGAGGAGGGTTTTCTGGAAGTGGATTTCATAGATTCATAGATTCTAGGACTGGAAGGGACCTCGAGAGGTCATCGAGTCCAGTCCCCTGCCCTCATGGCAGGACCAAATATTGTCTAGACCGTCCCAGATAGACATTTACCTAACCTACTCTTAAATATCTCCAGAGACGGAGATTCCACAAGTTCCCTAGGCAGTTTATTCCAGTGTTTAACCACCCTGACAGTTAGGAACTTTTTCCTAATGTCCAACCTAAACCTCCCTTGCTGCAGTTTAAGCCCATTGCTTCTTGTTCTATCCTTAGAGGCTAAGGTGAATAAGTTTTCTCCCTCCTCCTTATGACACCATTTTAGATACCAGAAAACTGCTATCCTGTCCCCTCTCAGTCTTCTCTTTTCCAAACTAAACAAACCCAATTTTTTCAGCCTTCCTTCATAGGTCATGTTCTCAAGACCTTTAATCATTCTTGTTGCTCTTCTCTGGATCCTCTCCAATTTCTCCACATCTTTCTTGAAATGCGGTGCCCAGAACTGGACACAATACTCCAGCTGAGGCCTAACCAGCACAGAGTAGAACAGAAGAATGACTTCTCGTGTCTTGCTCACAACACACCTGTTAATGCATCCCAGAATCATGTTTGCTTTTTTTGCAACAGCATCACACTATTGACTCATATTTAGCTTGTGGTCCACTATAACCCCTAGATCCCTTTCTCCGAACTCCTTCCTAGACAGTTTCTTCCTATTCTGTATGTGTGAAATTGATTGGTCCTTCCTAAGTGGAGCACTTTGCATTTGTCTTTGTTAAATTTCATCCTGTTTACCTCAGACCATTTCTCCAATTTGTCCATATCATTTTGAATTATGACCCTGTGCAGTTGCAATCCCTCCCAGTTTGGTATCATCTGCAGACTTAATAAGCATACTTTCTATGCCAATATCTAAGTCGTTGATGAAGATATTGAACAGAGCCGGTCCCAAAACAGACCCCTGCAAAACCCCACTTGTTATACCTTTCCAGCAGGATTGGGTATCATTAATAACTACTCTCTGAGTATGGTTATCCAGCCAGTTATGCACCCACCTTATAGTAGCCCCATCTAAATTGTATTTGCCTAGTTTATCGATAAGAATATAATGCGAGACCGTATCAAATGCCTTACGAAAGTCTAGGTATACCACATCCACAGCTTCACCCTTATCCACAAGTCTCGTTATCGTATCAAAGAATGCATGAGTCAAATGCATGTGTATTCATGGAAATGGAACTTCATTTCGCACAGTAAAATAGTCTATTGCTCTCTCTCTCTGACTGTCTCTGTCCTGTATTCATAAAATCCGTAGCACCCAGGAACCGTATTGGGTCAGACATGGAGCGGAGCTGCCATAAAGAATATGCATATTAAGGCCAGTTCTTGGGATGGTTGCTGTATAACTATATCGATTTAACTAGTGATCTGTTTACATTATGGCTATATTTGGTGAAATGAGTATGGCTTATTCTTAGTTTAATAGGCTACTGGAAAACAAACAGGAAACAAAGCAACAGCTCAAGAAAAAACATCTCTCAATAAGCACTTCAGGGAGGTTGAGAGACCACAAAGGAGCAATAAACTGGGAATAGCCTACTTCCGGGCTCCAGACACATTACACAGCGTGTATTGCCAGCTCTGGGAGCCTGCCCAGATGTGGGGCAGCTGTTGCTGAGAGGCTGTTCAGACTGACAGGCACAGAAACTGCTGGGGAAATATGAAGCCTCTCTGACTGCCTGTGCCCCTATCAGAGTGGGAGAGCTTGGGGTCACAGACACATACTGACGGTTGCTGGAAAAACTTCTTATACCCCCATTTTATGCTTTATTCCTACTGTTCAGATTATTTTGAATTTTGGTTCATGGCAGGCTGGTCACTTGTCTCACCACTGCTCACAGCCTCCCAAAGGGAAGAACCACAGGTGCTGAACCCACTCTGACCTGCTGGATAAGCACAGTTGGACCACAGTGTGCTATAGCGCAGGGCCCAGTCTGAGGGTGGGAGAATGGCAGGATTCCGCCCCAGGAGAGGGCAGGGTACAAGGCCTGATGTCTTTCACTCAGAGATCAGAGCGGTGGCAGAGATGCAGGTAGCCCTGTAACTCGGAGTGGCATCTACCGTGCAGAATTGCTGGAGCCCTCAGCCAGTCAGGAAATAGAAATATGCCTTATCAGACCTGTTACCACAAAGCAACGCAGCTCTGAATTCCTGCCTTCACAACTGAGCCAGAGAATAAAACTTTTAAAAAAGCATTTGCTGATTAAATTTCCATGAGCAAATACACCTGAGGTGATTTTTGAACTAGTCACTGATATTCCGTGGCGTCTCCTCTTGCTTAGCCCCTGACAGGATCGGGCTCAGAGCGCACGGCACCTCTAGAAATGGGACCGATTGAGAAATCCTGACTTGGGACATCTGGGTTTTAACACTCCAAACTCACTTGGACAACCCACAGTGGAGCTTGAATAACCCCCAGTGGAGCATTGGCAGATGTAGTGGAAGACTTCCCAAGCTACCTACTGCACGGTCCTGTACTGAAGCTATTTATAAATGTGTTTCATTGCCGCATTGTATATACTTTTGAATTTTCTCCACTCCTGAGAGTCCACATTAAGCTACTGCCTCTTTGCAGTACACGAGATACATTCTTAGGCACAAGTTCTTTATTCAATGACATTGTATTGAAAGCCATCACTCCAGATTTACATGTATGCATTCAATCAGAACTGGGCTCTGTTACCTTTCCCTTACCAAATGCTCCCAGTGATACACTCTGACCCTCAAAAACCCTTCCAAGAGAAGCTGAAGTGCTTTGAATGGCCAATGTTGACAGAATCCAGAGAGTTCAATCATTCATTAATGATCTGGAGGATGGTGTGGACTGCACCCTCATCAAGTTTGCAGATAACACTAAACTGGGAGGAGTGGTAGATACACTGGAGGGTAGGGATAGGATACAGAGGGACCTAGACAAATTAGAGGATTGGGCCAATAGAAACCTGATGAGGTTCAACAAGGACAAGTGCAGAGTCCTGCACTTAGGACAGAAGAATCCCACGCACTAC